GGTGGGTTCCGTGAGGCCGAATGTGGGGCCCCGGCTCCCCCCCTGCCGGAACGACCGGTGCGGGGTCGTCCCGAGTGCCTCTCCGAGGCGGGGTGGGGGCGGGGTGGCGCGGCGCAGACGGCCCAGATGGCCCGCGTTGGGTTTCGGACGGTTGGGAGCTGCGCTGGGCATCAGGTAACAGTCGCCCAGCTGGCCGCGCTGCTGGGGCGACGGGGGAGGTAGTCGAGTTGGGGGCGACTTCTTCTGGGGCGAAGCGGGGGGCGGCGAGGGACTGAAGGGGTGCTGGCGCTGCTGTGGACACCCCGAACCTCAAGCTGGCCTGTACCTCCTTCCTCCACCCCTCACCTAGCAAGCATGGTCTTTACTGTGAAAGAGGCTTCGGGCTTTAGGAAGCTAATACCCCAAAAGGCTCAGATGTCCCCAGCCCTGGGCAGGACCTACTTCCCGATGCAGGCCCACAACCCTGCCTGCCCGCCCGCCCTGGTGGCGGGTGCTGACTTGCCCGGCCCTGCGTGCTGCAGCCTGCCGGACTGCCTGCCACCAGGTCGGCAGATGGGAGCCACATGAGCGCCGGGTGCCAGCGCCCCACCCGGCTCTGCTGCCAGGCCGGCAGACCTAGCAAGCCCTCCTGGACCCTCTGTTCTGAGGGCTGGCCTGGCCAGGCAGGCAGGGGAGACATGCAGACCCCTCCCACTTCTGCCCTTTCTCCCTCAGCTGTGTGGCCGCGACACCGACTCACCCCCAGTGCCTGGCCCTCTGCAGCCGCTCCCCAGAAGTGGCCCAGACATGCAGCCCAGCCACCAGCTCAGGCCCTCAGATGTCTTGGAAGAGGACTCAGTCTGCTGTGCAGAGGAGGACGACCTGGTGACAGAAGACAGGGCTGCAGCCTTGGGGGGCGCCAAGGACCATGCCCTAGACTGGGACTCTGGCTTCTCAGAGGTGTCGGGCAGCACGTGGCGAGAGGAAGAGCTGCCTGTACTCCGGCGCCCAAGCCCCCCAGCACAGCCCCCTCACGGCCGGCGCCTCTCGGTGAGTGGCCTCCCCTCAGCCAGCAGGGCCCCGGCTGCCAGTGCACCTCCTGCCCACCGTCCACGGCCCAAGTCCACCCCAGATGCCTGCCTGGAGCACTGGCAGGGCCTGGAAGCAGAAGACTGGACAGCAGCGCTGCTGAACGGGGGCCGCAGCCGCCAGCCCCTGGCGCTGGGGGACAACTGCTTTGCTGACTTGGTGCAGAACTGGATGGAGCTACCGGAGGCAGCGGGTGAGGGGGGCGACGGAGGGGGGCCCCGTGCCCGGGCTCGCCCCCCCCAGTTCCTGCTAGGCCTCTCTGAGCAGCTGCAGGGCCGGC